CGTCAGGAAGGGCATCCGCCATTAAAAAAATAAAACAATAGCCAAGTCTTCATGTGCGTTCGTTCGTTGTAGTGACCCCTGAAGGAGGGAGCAGCTGAAAGAATAAAAATAAATAATCGTAAAAATGTTCTCTTCAAATTCTTAAACGGTGTGACTTAATAATTATCTGTATACTCACCTTTTTATTTTTAGCTTTTAGCTCCTGTTCTAATAAATTTAGCTTTTATCTGTTCAGCTGGTTTTTAGCTTATCCCTTCTGATTTGCTGTTTCCACTTTTTACCTGTGAAGCTGCATTTATTCAATTTAGTTAATTTTAGCTCGTGTTCTTCTTGTTCCTGTGGAACTTCGTTTGAAGACAGATTGATTCTCTCATTATTTTCTTGCTGTAGCTGCGACTTAAAAACTCATTTTCACACATAAAATATTTAACAATAATGTGTCCACCAAGCTGTGAAAGCTGCAGCATTGAGTTCTTCACACGTTGGTCTGTTTCCATTCATGTTGCTCACACTTTCTGCAGACGAACGTGTGAATGTGATGGACAAAGCATCGGTGCACACACGATTGTTGTTCCTGGTAGGAATTCTTAAAAAAAAATCAGTGATTGGTCATCATCTGATGACAATTAGTTTTAGATGGGTAACGTTATTAAGTGTTGCACCTATTTTACTGCAACTTTTTAAAAAGACAACTTTTGTTTTGCCTTGCCACAATAAATCATTCTGTTCATGTGATGACTAGTAAAAGCTTCGTAGTCTTTTTTTTTTTTTTTTAACTAGTTTTCAAAGCACATTTTGAATTTTCTCTCTTTATTTTGACTCAAATGTAAAAAGAGCTTTTCTGCTGATTCTTGGTTGTATTGTGAAGTTACATCTCTTGGAACAGGCTTTTATTGCTTTAACAAAATAAAATGGGCCATTAAATGATGAATATATCCCAGCATCTGTTCATCTACACAGTGTTGGATTCTCCCAAACAGCCAAATTAACCCTCCAATGCTTTTTGTGTGTTTTAGTAAAAACTCACTCGAAGAAAATCACATCTTTGTGCATTAAAAGTTAAAACAGCAACAGTTTGTTATTTTTAAAGCTTCAATTAATTTTAGTTTGATGATTTTTAATAATAGATGTAAACTAAAGACGTCGCCCTGGAGCTTTGTCCCATTTTGAAGAACGTGATTTGAATCAAACGTTGTTGATCTTAACGTTCACCACCTGAACGACCGCACTCTTTTTGTTTATTTTACTGAATTATTCGCAAGAAGCTGCGGTTTTGGTTTTACTGTTGCTAATAATCAGCTGAATTCAGGACAAAAACACTGATTTATTTTGGAGTTCTTTGGAGTTTGTTTTTTTTCCACCCCTGCTTGCTCTCAACGAGGACGGACGCTTTTCCCTCGTCTCCCTCCTGCTTTGCCATATGTCCTGTGAACCCTATCGGAGCCTCTCACTACATATCCTCCAAATTGTAAATTTATGGATCTGTTCAGCAGGTCTCAACGCAATCGATAAAATGTCCTCGACGAGAAGACGGGGCGATGAAGAGCCCTCATGCCCTGAAGGGACACTCGCAGCTGGATACACTATGGATTCCTGAGGCCAGTGGAAGATGGTGGCTCTGTCTGTATTGTTCATTGAGGATGTGGAAGACTCTTACATAATTGATTTTATGATAATCCTGTTACTGCTTTTTGGAGTTGGTGGGAATCTGGCATATCGACAAATTCAGAAAACGGCAGTAGCGGTTCTGAAATTTGTGAGGCTGCCTGCCTTGTGTGAAGGAATGGACCGAGCGTTAAGCTCTCAGACTCAGTTGCTGCATGAGCTGAGCCTTAAGTTGAATGCAATTTCTGAGAATCTTAGGCCACTTGCATCTCCTGGGACTCACTGACGGGAAGGAATTGACCTTGGAGAATGCTTCAAACTCGGTCCGGCAGTATGACCACAACATTTGGATGTTTGGAATCGCCATTGAGACGTACCAGCAGAACTATGAAGGCAGACATGGAAATTCAAGTAATCTGCCTGACTTAAAATAATTATTTAATCTGGCTTCCCTACTCGGCCCTGAATTGACAAACTATCTCAACTTCTCCTGGTTGTTTATGTGCACGAGAAGCTCTCACCAACACCATCACTTCCCTCCCGAGGACATCTGTGGATCTATGTCAGAGTTGAGCCGGCTGATCCACACTGTGCCATCTTTATCAGGACTATGGAACTTTTTGGCAGCGTCCACGGACAATTCACTGCTGTCATCAACCTCCGCATACATAAATGTATTATGATGTCATCAGTATGTTGCTGTTTCATGGGCTGAGGTCATTTTTTGCAACTCTCAGATCAGATAAAAAAAAAACATAAATAATAAAACTACACTCCCTTTTGTGTTTCTTTCTCCTTATCTGAAAAAAGGGCTGCGCCTCTCAAGGCTGGGGGCCTCGGTCACCTCCGTCTCCCCCTGTATGTTTCTCTCGGACGGGCTGTACTGAAATATTTTGTTGTGCTTTGGTACAATGACAATAAAGCTGATTCTGAAGGGTTACATTTCTGTCCACTTAAAGAATTAACTTGAGCGGTTCTCCTTTCAGCTGCTTTGCTCTCCATCAGTTCCTAAAACTGATCTGGGTTCAGATTGTTTGCTTTGAACTGTTACATTTTCTAATTTGGCAAGCTAAACATTTTGGTGAAGTGCCATGTTTTACACATATTTTAGACTTATCACTGAGTAAAAGCAAATTTATTCAACTAAAATGTCTTTAGTTTGTTGTGGTGTTGATAAAAGCTGATCCGTACGCCCACCCTAAACCCCAACTCCCACGTATTCGGAGGACAAATTTCTGCACACTGAAGAACCATAATTAATATTTGGCCATCACAACTTTTTCTCACAACTTATGATTCTTTACTGTTTCTCCAGCTTGAAAATTTTCACCAAACTCCATTAAAATGTGCGGCCCAATCAAATACAATGTTCTGTATATCAGTACATGACCGATGTACCATCATGGTAACCATGGCGACCCTAATGATCCACTGGCAGGAGCCTAAATGTTTCGTTTGATCTTAGTTGTTTTTACATTTCTTGTAGTTTTTACCTCAAAATGGCTTTTTATTAGCTTCAATCATTATAAATGGAAATCCCATATTACTGTTTAGCTTTTTAGAACAAAAGTTGCCCTTGGAGTTTAGACTATTAAAACGGACGCCTTTTAAAAATATATTTTATAATTTAAAACTCAAACTGATTTTCCTACAGTATGACTCAGTTTTGTTTTCATTTGCATTCCTCTTTATTGTTCAGGTTGCTGTGGAAACAGCTTATTTTATTTTGCATTTATTTTCTTGCTTCAGAAAATTCAGCGACCTTTCCCTCAGTGTTTAAAGAAGCAATAAAACGATGAAAGAAAAAAATGTCAACCAAACATTTTCCTACTTTCCCATCTGACACAGAGCTAAACTCTGTGAAATGAACGAGCAAAAGTAGAGCAGCAACAAAGAAAAGCTGTCCAACTTCTCTAACGAACCCAATATTACTATACTATATTGGTCACTTTGGTGTACAAGTTGCAGGACTTGAAAATTTATGCAAAAAAAATGTGCGACTTGTACGGCGAAAATACGGTAAATTGATGATTCACTTCGACTAGCAAAATACAAACCAAACACCAAAATGTTTTTTTATGTATTTTAGGTGGCAACAGCATCGACTGTGGAGTGAAAATCAAGATGCAACCTTCACTGAGCAACTGACAACCTTTTAAAATAAATATTCCCAAATGAATATTTGTGCAAAGAGGCAAATATGAACAGATGAACAACAAAAGTCTACAACGGAGGTTAAAAAGGACAAGTTTGTATTTTGAGTACAAGAAAACAGTTGGCTTTAGTGTTTTAGTGCCTTCCTGGAATAAAACGAATGGAAAGATATTTAATACATTCCTTTATCTTAAGCTCCAAGGTGAGCCCAGAGAATAAATGGTGTCGACTAGGAGCGTTCTTCTGCAGGATGATGGGGGGCGAAACGAAAAGTCGTAGGCATAAATCACATTTAAGGAGATCTACACACACGCGCGCGCGCGCGCGCGCGCGCGCGCGCGCGCACACATACGCACCCAGATAAACACTTACAAATAAAACTTCAGACATATTCAGGCAGACCCAAAGAAAACAAGCTCGTGGTGCCTTCACGTCATCCCAAAACTGGTTCATGAGCAGCTTTCAGGTGTCGTCGTGGTCCTCTTACATTTTTGCTGTTGAACTTAAAAAAAAACCATTCAGATCGAGCCCGGGGCGGGATGAACACAGCAAGGGGGAGCTAGCAGCCTCTATGATAATGCACTTGGACAGTTTGGGTCAAGGATTTAATGCAGTCGTGCAACCCTGTTTTCCTTTTCTCCCAGTGAGGATTTAGTGGAGCTGCTGAGCAGAGAGACAGACGCTTGGTTCAGCTTTGAAGCAGAGCAGAGGCATGTTTAATGTGACGTTCGGCAAAAATTAACAGTTTGTTCTTCGTGCTCTTCTTTTTAAATGCATAACACTCGGTTTAGAAAATCATTGCTGCCAACTCACCGTGGGCTTTTAACAAGAGACGTCTTTCTAAAATCTAAAGTAAATAATTCTTTAGAACAAAAACAAGGAGCTTTGCAAAATACTCTGAAATTAGTCCACGTTATACGTATGAAAATCACTTTGGCAACGTATCTCATCTTGAAGACCCCCCCCCCCCCCCCCCCCCTTGAGTGCAGTCAGTAATCACATCTGCTGTGAAGTTCTCCAACGAACGACACGAGTGCTGCATGTTCTGCAGGACGCAGGATTAATACTGTTGGAACGGGCCAGCTCAGTCTCTGCAGGCCCGTAGATGAGGAAACGAACGCAACAGAACAGCACGAGAGCGGCAGGAACCCGCTTTAAGCCTTATGCACCTCAAGAGGCCTTGAGTTTTGGTTGAGCTGTAAAAACCCACGCCCACCCCCCTGCTAAAGTCATCTTCTGGGCTCAGGCTTGGAGCTCTGCTGAGATTCCAGCTCTGGTCATGTGAAGGTCGGGGCGGTCCCGTCGTCTGCGTGTTGACATTGTGAGATCGGAGGGTGTTGTGACCGTGGAGTCGCTGTTCGTCACAAGCAGGACTCGTGAGAGCCTATGTTTGTGTGCAGAGGCTTCTTCTCCTGCTCTTTGTGGTTCCCGTTGTGAAGGACAGAATACCTGAGAGAAAACGGAAGAAGGGAGAGATGAGACGAAAAGAAAACGCAAACTGAATCGGACACACATGCAGTTTGACCTCGTTAAGGGAAAATGACTATAAACTTCAAGTTATTCATCACTTCCTAGTCATGGCTCGTTTAATTTGACACCAAACTATTCAAAGATGTCTACATGTAAAAAACATTAAAATATCACAACTGCAATTTCACTTCACATTTGTGATCAGAATGTCAAAAAGCTCATTTTCCAATAAATTGCAAATCAATTATGCACTTCCCTGCAAAATGATGAAACAGTCCTACATACCAGCAGCAGCTAGTTTCTTAAACGAATATTTTTAAGAAAACCATTTTTTACATCACATTTCAGCAGTTCAATTCAGTATCACGTCAGATGTCTCAGGGCACCGGACAGAAACAATCGTATAAACACAATAAATGAACATTATTTATCTGAGGAGCAGACTGCTTTGAGTTTAACGTCATCACAAAACTCTCATCCTGAGCGAGCATGAAGGCGACAGTGGAAAGAAAAAACTCCCTCACAAGAAAGAAACCTCCAGCTCAGGACAAGCTTCGATCTGCTGGGTTTAAAGAACAGGAACACAATGGCAGGTCGAGAATCACATGTTAAGATTGAAATAACATCAAATTTAAACTATTCATATGCATTTGTAACTATTAATCTAAAAAACGGTCCGGTAGTCTAAGGTAGATTAAAAATTGTTCCCTCCATTCGCCAGGATCTGTCACTCTGTGCGGCCTTACACATGCAAGCAAATAAAATAAATAACTAAATGAATCAATGAACACATTTCCCTACCTCTATTCTTCTACACAATGTAACTTCCAACCTGAAATATCTTGCATCAAAATCTTTAATGTTTACTTGATTCTTTGTTCTATTCCAGTCCAGGAAAAACACTCGTCTCACACCAAAGTTCATGCTCATTAATCCAGGTGTAAATCCAACAATGTTCAGTCAGGTCATCTGGATGGTTTCTTTTGTTGCCGAGACGTTTCGTCTCCGTTTCGTTTCGTGGGCGAGCTCCGGAGGCCGTCTTATTACCAGCAAACTGTTTTTGTTTTGTTTTTTCGTTGTGGGATTCAGTTTGGTTTGGTGGGATTCTCAGGCTGAAGAAGTTCTTATGATGGACGAAACAAAACTACAAAAGAAACCATCCAGATGACTTGACTGAACATTGTTGGACTCGAATCACAAACTACTAACCTTCACTGTTCAAATCCCTTCCCACGCTTCTCCTATTCTATTCTATGTGGCACATTATTGTTTACATTTTTTTGTTGTTGTTTGTTCTGACAAAGAAATTCAGCTACTAAATTGGTGTTTTGTGAAATGATGATGACATTTGAAAATAGGATTTTGTCTAAATCTGGTCACTGATGTGCATGGTTATTGTCATGGTCCCAAACAAATTGAATTTAACTTCATTATTCTGCTAAACTACAAATGGACAAACAAAGCAAATGCATTTAGAAAAAACAAAAAACTTACTGAAGTACTTTTTAATTATGCCACAGGAGACGATAGTCATGTTTAGCCCCAGTGTAAAAATATGATTTGTTTTACTTAAGTGGTAAGATATTTCGTTTCATGGGATAAAAAGAATTCACATGATTAGTTCAGGTCTCTGGTGAAAGTCACACTAATTGTTCAAACAAGCAACTTCAATCTGATGACGAGTTCTTTGCAGAACAAAAAATGTATAAATAAAATGGCTCAGACGTGCAATTCAACGAGCGCATTCCTGCACGGTTTGTGGCTGAGCGTGCTTTGAGGAAATTTGCTTTAACAGGTTTAACAACTTTGCAGGATTTAATGTTTGCCTCAGATTCTCTGCAGAACGCAAGAAAGCAAACACAGCTTATCAGAACAGATGTATGTTAAGTAAATCAATGTGTGTGTGTCCTTGTTTATGCTACTTTGTGAGGCCCATTTTTCCAACTTATACTGCATTGTGAGGACTAACTGCTCCTTATGGGGCCCAAAGCCCGGGCCCCATAAGGAGCAGTCCCATTGGTGGGTTAGGGGCTAGGTTTAGGACTAAGGTGTGAAATGAGGATGTGTTAGGTTTAGGGTTAGGTATGTACTGGTAATGGTTAGGTTATGGATAAAGGTCATGGTTAGGCTATAGAAATGAATGAAAAATGAATGGAAGTCAATGCAAAGGCCCCATAAAGATAGCAAAACAAACCTGTGTGTGTGTGTGTGTGTGTGTGTGTTTCAGGGACCTCACCTTGGGCTAAAATCATAACGCGCTGTTTTCATACAAACACCCTGACCAGAAACACTTCCTGCTGCCAAACGGGCCATGAAATACACCTTCTAGACAGCGACAAACATTTAGAGTTTTCAAAAAGAAACCGGCTGCAGATTCCAGCCAGAACTCTAAATGGCTCCCACATTGCAGAGTTAAAGCCCCGAGCCGTCCTCCCTGGGGGGCGCTGACTCCGATCAAACTGCTGCTCCAAAGAGTCTAGACTGGAAGACACGTTTTATAAGAAAACTTCCAATTTTTCCTCCTGCTTAGCTTAGATGATTGTTTCTATTTCAATAATGTTACGCAGCATGATGTGGTGATAATAAAGAGCAATGTTCATAAAACAGTTAAAGGTATAAATAAAGGTTCATTTGAAAAAAAAGGGCTTCAACTAAAATAAAATAATTTTTATACAATGTGTTATGAAAATTTCATCATGCTGTGTCCATCCATCCATTATCTTTACCCGCTTATTCCATTTTGGGTCACGGGGGTCGCCGGTGCCCATGTCCAACAATCACTGTGCGAGGGGCGGGGTACACCCTGGACAGGTCGCAAGTCCATCACAGGGCCACATAGAGACAAACAACTATTCACTCTCTCACTCACACCTAGGGACAATTTAGAGTTACCAATCAGCCTAACATGCATGTTTTTGGTCTGTGGGAGGAAACCGGAGTACCCGGAGAAAACCCCCGCATGCACGGAGAGCACATGCAAACTCCACCCAGAAGGCCCCTGGATCGGGGTTTGAACCAAGGACCTGCTCGCTGAGAGGCAGATCATGCTGTGTGTATTTCATTATTAAAAATCTGCAGCTTTGTAGCGTTTTTCTTGTGCTTTTGAAAACTGTATTTTATTGTTTAAAAACGATAAAACAAACTTTGACATTTGGAGAATCATGTCGATGATGCAGTACGTTAAATCGGAGCCAACAAGCGACCCAATAAAGGTTTTTTTTTTTTGATTGATTGATAAAAAGGGAACAACTATCCATCTATTTTCTTTTATCCACTTCTTTTGATTTTGGGTTGTGGGGGGTCACTGAGGTCCAAATCCAGCAACAGTCACTGTGCAAGAGGCGGGGGACACCCTGGACTCCAGTCCATCACAGGGACACAAGGAGACAAACAACCATTCTCTCATTCACACCTAGAGACAATTCAGAGTCACCAATCAGCCTAACGCGCATGTTTTTGGTCTGTGGGAGGAAACTGGAGTACCTGAGAAAACTCCCTCATGCACAGAGAACATGCAAACTCCACCCAGAGGGGTACCCTGGCCGGGATTCGAACTAGCGTCCTTCTCGCTGAGAGGCGGCAGCTCTACCAACTGCACCATCATGCCACCCTGTATGTTAAATGATTGTCTGACAGTCTGTCTGTCCGTTTATATATCTATATATCTCTATAGTCCTAGAAAGCAGAAACATATTTGTTCCTGCGATGCCATGTCCAGTTACAGCAGGGAACGTTTGATAAAAGATGTACAAGGAAAATAACCGAAACATCCGTGAACCAGAAGTAAACATGCTGTTATGAGTTTAATCATTATTGAAGTTTAAAAAATGATTTTTAAAGGCAGAAGTGACCATATCACGTTGGTAACAATGAATGTAACAACTTAATATTAATAGAGAATGAGCTAATACATCAGTTTTTGGAGGTAAACAATAGTATTATAGATATTAATTAATATATTTAGGCCATTCTATGTTTATTTTTATCAAATATTAGAAAAATCAGACTTAAATTTATGCCACAATATTACCTGTTTTTGATATCAAAATTATTATGCCTTTTTGTTATTGAACTATTAACAAACTGTTAAAATCTTTTTACATAAAAATGAACAGCTACTTTCAGGTATTGGCTTTTCAGCTGTGATAATTAAACATTTTACTCTAAACTGCTGCGATTCTCTGATTATCACCCACCAACACAAGGCATGCGTGTGTTTATCTTTCTACCTGTTAGCAAAATATCATGAACCACAGGACAGATGTTATTAAAACTCTCAGAAAGTTATCTCTGGATGGACATCTACAAGATGGCTCCCACAGCTAATCAACTTTAGCCCACCAAATATAGTCATGACGTGTGTTTACAGACGTTGATATCAGGGTGATGTTTGTTATGGCACCAAAATTATTGACATTTTTTAAATATCAAAGCTGGGACACAGCAGTACACAAGGATTTATGATCGCTTCAACAAAGACAAATGTGCAAAGTGAAAGCTTAAGGAGTTGCTCATGTCAGCACAAATAATGTTTAGAACAAAAATCATGTGTTCATGCTCGGATCAAATGAAACTTTGAAGTAGGACATGTGTCTCGATCCATCCAGTGTTTATTTGTGGTTTTATTTGTACACAGCTGAGCCAACAGGCCGACTGGCAGAGCAGCAGACAGGATGGAGATTTGTTTAATGAGGCCAGAGGAGAGACAGAAGGCCCGGATCACAAGCAGACTAAACATGTCCACATATTTCAGGCTACAATGTGGCAAACATTCATCTCACAGAGTGCCCTTGATGAAGATATTAAATATGCTGCGCGACGAACGCCGGCATGTTCCATGTGGTGGAGGTGAGAAGGAGGGGGTCGCCGTGAAAAGGTGCGTAGAGTTCAAATACCGATACCAATTCCCTCTTTTCATTCCAGGGACAAAATATATCGAAACTCTCCATTTGCACTAATTATCTTTAAGTAAAGGGGGA